TCCTGCTGCAAGCATTTCAGCCTTGTATGTTCGGAGCACCGAATGCTCTGTCCCCAGTCCAGCAAAACAGAATCACAGAATTGTAGTGGTTGAAAAAGACCTTTAAGATCATTGAGTCCAACCATAAACCTCAGACTACCAATACCACCTCTAAACCATGTCCCCAGGCACCTCGTCTACCCATCTTTTAAATACCACCAGGAAAGGTGACTCCAGTGAAGCAGTTCTTCCTAATATCCAATCTAAACCTCCTCTGGCACAACTTGAAGCTGTTTCCTCTTGATCCATCACTTGTTGCCTGGGAGAAGAGACCAACCCCCACCTCTCTACACCCTCCTTTCAGATAGTTGTAGAAAACCAGAAGGTCCCCCCTCAGCCTCCTTTTCTCCAAGCTCAACAATTCCAGTTCCCTCAGATGCTCCTTGTAGGACTTGTTCTCCAGGCCCTTCACCAGCTTTGTTGCCATAAAACACTTGAGTACAGGTCCATGGGTGGAGCTAGGCACATGGGGTTTTTATGCTAAATCCCAGAAAGCTCCAGCATCTTGGAGAATCAAGGCCTTGCTCTCAACGACAGCCCCTTGGATTTCCCTGAGACAGCTTTTGTATCTGTGCCCTTGGGGAAAAGGATCCTTTTCCTCTACCAGTGTTTTTAATGGTAGTCTGTCTAGTGTATGTTAATCCTTTTATGTCCGTTCTGAAAAGCCTTACTGTTCATCTTCTTTTTATCAAATTTATTCAGAGCCAGTGTTGACCCAAGAAGGCACAACAGAAGTTGAGATACCTCCGATTCATGGTGCAGAGGAAAAAGAAGGAAAAGAAGAAGAAGAAGGAGGAGGTGAGGCTACTTATAAAACAGATTGAGACAGAGAATGCTTCTGGGCTCATGTTCTCCTTTTCTTTTGTGAGGAAACATGGGAAGAGCACATAAAAGCATTTTTTTTCCCTATGAAAAAGCCTTTTTTGCCTATCCTTGAGTGTTGTTTTGATATATTGGACTTGGATTTACATACCAAAATCAGTGCAAAAAAGTGCACACTCCGGTTCTAAAATGACTTTAAAATAAACGTTCTTCTCATTATTGGTTTTCTGCATTAAAGTGCATAAGGCTGATTAAACAACCAATTTATGTCCATTTAAGTACCCTCTTGATCATGTTTGCTAGAAGCATCGAGAGTATTTACAATAAGTGGGTATGATAATTATTTTTTAGGTCATTAATAGAGATTTAACTAGTAATTAACTAAAACTAGTAATTCGAATAAAGAAACCAATATTTGGAGCAGGAACATAGACTCTTTCGGAAGCAGTAATTTTTTCTGAGAGTATAAGTATTTAAATCCTTAGTAATGCTTTTGCAAAAAAATGTAAAAGTTTAATTTTAAGTGTCAGACACTTCTGGGAACCCTATGTTCAGCTCACCATTTGTAACAGGCCCATGGTTATATAAAAAATAGCATACTATGTAAATAATTATCTAATTGAAAAGTAACTGCAAGTTAATAATTATATGGCCATTTGTAGAGCACAGGGATGAATTTTACAGTTCCAAATTAAAACACAGACATAATTTTTATTGAAAATTCAGGTCAATACTAACTGTGTTGTCTTAATTATGAACTCCTTTTCCTAGCCACATTGACACCAACTTAATTGCAAAGCTGTGTTAGTAATATTGACACTTTTCTTCACTGCAAACCCAGGTTAATAGAACCTTTTTGTTCATATACAGCCAAATAACATTTCCTCTCTTTTTTTTTAATTGCCAATCCAAGTTGAGACTGATCATGTGTCTTTGTTATCAGTCATGTTAATGGTATTGGTTTTGTGCTTTATTACTGATGGTGAAAATAGAATTGATATAATCCTTACTTCAAATCCAGGTAAATGGTATTGCGCTACCTCAGCTGCAAATCCAGGTTATATAATACAAGCTCACTCTGATTGCAAATACCAAAGTCGTTATGTTAATTTCCTCCTAATAGAAATTATTTACATTTTATTTTATGCCTCATCAAAAGCAAGTTGGGCAAAATGTACTTTCATTATTTGTACATTTCCTCCTCTTTAATACTTTAGTGTCCCCTACAACTAGTCACTGTCATTTAGATCTCAGTGGAGAGATTATATTTCACCATCTGTTCTGCCTACTATTAAAATATGCAACATTAAGGTAATGTCAGAAAAGGGTTGTTCTTGGCACTTTTCCTTTTCCTGCCCCTGCTTTAAAAGGTTCAAGCACTAAGAAAGTAAAAGGTTCTTTCCAAACATTTGGAACATGTTCCTACCTGGGGGTTCAGGTATTGCTCCTCTACAAGATTCATCTAATCCAAAGCTCGTTGAAGTTCATAGATGGACTCTCATTGACTTAAATGAGCTTTTGGTCAATTCAGTAATGAAGAGATGACATGTTGAATCTACCTGCAGGGTAACAGCACTTGGTAACTGCATAGATATTCTGTTTAGCTTCTTCCAAATATACTGTCTTTGGGTCAGGGAAAATAAATGGGTGGGCTTTAGGGGTTTTGAGAAGGCAAGGAAATCAAGGCTTTCCCTTGCTTTGTTTCATTCTTATGGGTATAAGAACATGTAGAGCACCCTCAGCACTCTTCTTGCTAGGTGCTTCCAGTTCTAGTGGGCACACACTCTGCCATGTGAGTTTTGAAAGTTCGCCACAAAGCGAGGTAGGTCTTTACAAAGAGAGGTAAAAAATGAAAATCAGCTGAAGTTCAGGCTGATAAAATAAGATATATTCCCCAAAGACAGACTTTGGAAAGAGATTACCTGGCATAAAACAGAGATTTAATATGTAACACTATTTCATGTAACCCAGTGCTACCTCATAAACTAATCCAATTAAATAGTTTTCCAGCAGCATCCACAGTGCATTTGACATACAATGAAATGGCGTATTTTTGTTTTAAGAACACATGAAAAAAAGCCAACATGGGACTGCCAGTCCCATTAAATAGAAATACACAGTTCTTAAGTGGTTTTGACCTCTACTAGACCTATATGCATAGCCAAACGTAGCAACTGCTAGACTACAAACTACCTGCTCTTTCTGTTCCGCGTCTGATACTTTTTTGTGTGTGTTACCAAGCTCATCCTAGAGTGAAGGGTAGCACACAGCTGCCTCTGTCCCCTCTCTGTCTCGCTCTCTTTCACCAGAAGCCGTTAGATGAATGGGAGTTATCTGTGACCTGTGCTATCCCCAGTACTGGAGCTGTGGAAACCACTAAATAACCAACAAAGATCAAAGTCCCTTTTCCAATCTAAAGCTGGATTTCTGCTTAGTTACTGATTGTGTATTTGAAGAGTGCTAGGAATTTTTTCAGTGATCTGGTTTTCTGTGAAAAATGAGTGTTTCTTAATGGTTTTGAGATGTGGCTCAGTTTTTGCAAACTTCTGACAAACCATAGGTAAAGCTTCTGATCTAATTGTGCAAATTTTACTACCAGCTCATCTATGTGGTTTGGGGTATTTTAGGGCTTGCAGGGTCCTTTCTGTATAGCTCATTTGGCTTCACAGCTACAGACTCACACCGTAGTGTATATTGCCAAGGAGTCACAGATCCTGGCACTTTCAAGGTTCTGGGGCGCCAGGAGCCCAGAGGAATGAAGAATCAAAGTCTTGGCAGTCTCAGTACTGTTTCCCATTGCCAGCAGTAAGAAACAAGTCAGAGTACCCTGAAGAATTTAACAATGTAAGGCATTGTGTGTGTTTCATAAAATCCTGCTGTTGCTTTTTCCAAAATCAGTAATAAAATATAACACGTGCCAATTTATTCCCTTTTTTCCTACTGTAACTTAAAGTTATATATTACTAGGGAGTAACTGAAAAATAATTTAAAAAAAGATGTCTTTTTAATTTTTTTTTCAGCCACTATAATGCACTCATTCTAGTTCAAAAAAGAATCATGAAAATCTGTGTTTCTTATAAGATTTGGGAATATTCTTAAATCCCTTGATTAAAAATCAGAGTAAGTGGTGATCACTGACCTATTTACTGACTAGGTAAGTGTACATGCTTTTAATAAACCGTTTGGCAGTCCCTTTGTATGGACACTTGGAAGTAGTCCTGTCATGTTGTAAAGACCATGCATTCAGCATTTAGTTGTAGATTTAATCTGCACAGTTTTTCCACAACACAATTTGCAGCACACAGAAGTAAAACTCATGGTTACTTGTGTGAATAAGTAATCATTTCCTCCTCTGAGCCTGCTCTCCCCTCTGTCTTCTTATTTCCCACCTATTTCTATCTCCCTTTGTCAAGACATTAGATATGATGATTTCCCTTGCTGACCATTTCTGGAAGTTGTTAAACTCTTTGGAGGATAAGATTTCTGTCAGAGCACTGGAATATGAACAGAAGTTGCTGTTATTTCTCTGTTGTCTCTCTTCTGTATTCGGGCTAAAATATTTTTGTCTTATTGTGCTGTTTGGAACATGATTCGAGCTTGACCTAGGATGTTTCTCCACCCAAGAAACAAATTTAAAGTGGCTGGGTAGCAGCCTCCCTGGGCAAAGGACACATTATTTTTCAGTTGGACAGGTCCAGAAATGCAGAAGCAGCTTGTTGCTGAAGCATAATCAAGAGCAAAATGCCGTAATTAATGCCTATAAGGATATTAAAGCGTCCAGGGATTTAGCTTAAGAGCAGGACACAGCCCTTACAATTAGTATGTCTGTGCTGTTGCATCTTAGCCTGTTTGAATGTCCGGTGTAGGGAACTGTATTAACCATCTTTTTTTCTATATGAACCATGCAATGTTAAGGCAGGCTTGGGAACAGACTGGGGGAGACTTCACAGTTTGAATCATTTGCAGTATACATGATTTCCTTTGTGGTCTTCTGGCCAGTGCCTGTTTACTGTAAATTTGAATTCTGACTAATTTTGGTTCTAGCTAAGCCCAGTTTTGCTCAGCAGTCTCTGTTACACAAAAAGCTATGTAACTCTGTACCATAGTTTTGTCCATTCTTCACTTAAACAGCTGGATTTTCAGGTCATTTACCCATCTGTACTGTAGCAAGAGAGATAATTTTTATGGCATGATCTTGGAGAGAATTAAATATTCCAAAAACCTGGAGGAAAAGAGCCCTCAATTTTTTATAGTTTCAGTCTCAGGCATTTATAGGATTTTACATGCATTGGTATGGTCGTAAATAACGTCAAGATAATGACTTTCTTTGATAAGACATTGTGGCTATAGAGAAATGAAATGCTTCTTGAGAAAGATCTTTTCAGACAAATCTGACATCTTTATTCTTGAGTCATGGCAATTGTAACTACCTTTTATTTCTTAACCAAACTTCTTTTCAACCTCAAGTGGAGATGGATGAGACATTTTGAAAAAAAAAAAAAAGAAACCACAAAAAAAACCTAGTTTGAAAGTCTTCCTTATATATCTTTAAAAAGATATTTTGTTTTGGAAGGAAAAGAATACAAAGATACTTTGGAGTGTTGTGCTTTCTGAAGATCTAGTATAAAGGCTCCAACTTCTTTCATTCAGTTGCCCAAAGAAGAAAGGAATAAATATCCTGTATCGGATGGGGGCTGTTTAGTGGGCTGTTAAAGAATAGCCTGGCCCTAAATATGAAATATATTTTTAAAATCTGCTTCTGACAAGTATTGATATTTGGCAAAGGAAAAAAAAAAAGAAGAAGGTGCACCTTTGGACATTTTGCATAAATACTGGAAGTGCTGTGGAACCAGAAAATGGCAAGTGGGTATTTAAACTCTCATGTCAAAGCTCTAAGGTATGAAGAGAGGAGGAATGTTGCAAAGCAGATAGCTGGAAGTAGTTGGGGATATACAGTAACAAGGTTATCACTTGAA